AGCTTAGCAAGGATTGCCGAATCCCCTCCATCAATCGACCTTACATCGATTCAACAATCCCTTGAGACTCAATCGAGGGACAACACCACCCACCTGCAAATTTTCGAACAACTGGTGGTTCAACAACCTAACACCATCTCCACCCTCTCAACTGCCTGCAACCAAACCCTCACTGCCACCCTCGCAACCCTCATAGCCCAGGTAACTGCGACCGATGAAGCCATCGCCTCCCTCACCTCCCAAATAAATTCCATAAACACTACCCTCACCATACTCCCAACCACCATAATTGCCCAACTACCACAAACAGCCCCTCTTCCACCCCCTCTGTAGCTCCATCATTCGAGGAAGCCTTTACCTCCTTTGTTGTAGAGGTGAGGGACATGATATCATCCATCACCATCCCACCACCCGGATCAACCTCAAACTCCATCCCTCCCCCCGCCTCAACATCCACCTCCACCACAGTAGATGTAGTCACCAGAGCCGACCTGAGAGCACTCTCAAAGGAACTTATATCCTCGTTCAACGAGATAAGTGCAAAGTTCATGCACAAGGCTACAGAACCGGCCAAAGCTCTCTCTCCAAGAGCCTTGAGATCCAGCAGGAACACACCAACTCTTTCCTCCTATCGATGGAGGACACTCGAAGACGGAATTCCCTAAGGAAGTATCTCGCTTCTTTCAGGATGACCAAGGAGAGGAGCAGAGCCTCCTACTCAACAAGCTGCCCTGTAAAGAGGCCAAGGCATGAGGATCCTGACCAAGATGATCATGGTCTAGGTCCTCATGAGGGGGGAGAACCCGACACAGGAACCATCAGCAACCGCTGCAACACCACCTCCAGCAACTCAAAACCTACAAACCTAAACCACCCAAGGAACCCAAGCAACTGAGGCTAGGGAACTAGAGGCTCAGCCCTCTGAAGATGTACATAATGTACATGTTCCCTTAGCGTGCACCTAAGAACCCATACCCACAACCAATGAGTTCTCACTATTTGTGGTGAGTTCTTCATCCTCTGAAAACCCACCTTCCCCCATCGCCATTCTCACTCAACCACAACTGTTCATCACCCAATCCACTATACCTCAACCAGAGCCAACCAAACCAGAACCCACAGAACCAGAAATCACCCAACCTGAACCCTCACAACCAGAAGCCATACCCTCACCTCAACCCATAACCCATACACAACCCTTAACCCAAACAGAACCCACAATCTAAACACAACCCATCACCACACATCAACCACCCATCACCCAACCATCCTCACAGGTGTAAGCGGACATACCTTCCTCATCGAGGCAACCTCCTCCTCAAGGCATGGTCGATGAAATCATTGCAAACTTTGAGTCGCTAAGAAGATATCCGCCAATGCCCCCAAGGGAACCAGTCATGATGGAGAACATTCATCAGTATATCTACCATGACCACGATGAACTATTGGTCCTCAATCCCCCATGCTATCTCTTGAGTCGATGGATCTCTTGCGTTACAAATTCATAGGACAGACAACCTCTCTACCATAACTCGTCTTCTCGAACGATGGAATCAAGACAGTCCTAGACATCAAGATGAGAACCTTCGGTAATCGAGCAATCAAGTACATCGAGTATACCATGGAACGTACACATGGGATGGTCTGCGTCTTCAATGAGAATGACTTAATCAATCCCAACCCATAGGACTTGATCAACCTCTATAGACACAAAGCTCAATGACAAGACCAAGGGATCAGATATGGGATGTCCAATCGAGCGATAGTGGAGATGATAGAAACCTTGGTGAAGTTCAGGGAAAAGAGCGATTTTCAAATAGCTCTTGAACTTGGTATTGAGAGAATCTCTTGCACTCCACCAGATGAAGATTTTCCAGGCCTACAGGAGATGCACCTGCATCGATCTTAACTTAACCAGAGCTCAGATTAGTCTTCAAGAACGAGTTTGGTGTTAAGAATTTTTTCAGACTAACTAAGGCCTTCAAGTACTCAACCTCTACACTTGAATGGTTTCAGGGAGTCATCAAAGAAACACTGGGCAGACTACATGTGCCGATGAAGGAAGGTCAAGAACTTATTCATGGTATCTCCATAGTCATTCAATTCAAGGGATTGATGATGCGTTTCTGGAAAATATTTAGAGGAGACCATGATTGAATTTATGTAATTTCATTTTCATTTCAGCGTTTTTGTAAGAATTAATCCAACACCTTATCCAATGAAATTTTTTGGCAAAAGGATGTTTTTCTTTTAGTTTAGCCTCTGTCTCTCACTTATTACTTAATTGTTCATATACTAGCCAATGTTTGTCTTTTCATTACTTAGAGGGAGATTTTTAAACCCCATAACTCATATCTGTAAAAGTAATGAAAACAACAAGTGTGAAAGAGTAGAAGGCCGATGGAAGACTTTCAAGCAAAAAAGACTAAGTGTCCAATACAACTAGAGGTGCGATGAACGTCCATAGGTATGATGAACTGTGCATCTCCATAGCCCCTCTTGTTATCAACACTTGGAGTTTTTCCACAACAGTTTAACCAGAGGCACCCAATGAAGAAGATCTCAAGACATGGTTGAACACGCCCCATAGAAGACAGCTGGAGTTGGCAAATCGACTGTTGGATACTCAATGTGTTACTTTTCTTTATTTACTTTCCATAAGTCTAGATTACTTTCCTTTTCATAAAAGATTTACTAAATATCTTCCATAGATAGCAACGTCCAAAATTAGATTACTAGTATAAATAGGCTTTACTATTCTTGTAATCGTTTACGCTTTTCCGCCTAATCATTTGAATAAAAGTGAATCATTCGGCACTCAACTATATTCTTGAATATTATCATTTTATTCTTGAGTGTTGTTCACTTTTTCCATCCATACCATATATTTAGGTTATTCATAGCTTAAATATTAGTGTTATTGAGGGATCTAGGATCAACAGTGGTAGGAGGAACAACAACACGTGACGCTGAAGACTTAGTGTCATTAGTTGTTTTCACTGTGCCTGAAAAGGAGGCTCTAGTGGATTTCTTCACCTTAATTGTTTTAACAACCTTAGTGGTAGATTTCGCCTTGGTAGATTTCTCAGCCTTGGCTACTTTCTTGCCCTTGGCTGGGCACCAGCCTTGGTGGCAATAGGGCACTTACTAGCAATAGGTGTACTTTCACCACAAGGTCTACACTTCCTATAGCTGAAGCTAGCTTTAGGGCAAGGAAGTACCAGAGAAGACGAGGGAAAAGCTCCAAGGTTTATGTTCTCATTTGTTCTAGGAGGAACTTTTGAGGACTTGGAATCCTTAGCTGAAACATTCACCTTGAGCTTGGACTTAGATTTCTGAGAAGATCCAGATATCTTGATCCTTGAGGAAGAAGAAGGTGCACAAGCTGAAGGAATAGATTTAGATCTATATGACTTGTTAGCCTTCTTAAGAAGAGGTGCTATGACAATGGACTTACCTTTGTCTTACCTGAACTCGAAGAAGTTTCTTGAAGATGACTCTTAGTAAAAGAAGACTGAGAGGAAGAATTGTCAGAAATAGAAGAGACGAAGGTACCAAACTTGAGCATGGACCTATCAGTGACACTATCTTCCTGATCATATGAGAAGTGTTGGTCCCAGTTTGGTGTACAAGAGTTTTATAGAAACAGTTTGTAGAAAGGAGGGATGAATACAAACACAGAGAACTTTCAAATTTAAAAATATATATTGATAAAGAAAGATCAATACTTATTTTTACAAAATTGAATGCGGAAATAGATAAGGTAAAGATAACCTATCTAAAACAATCTAAGTTTACACACATATATATTCTTAGCAAAGAGAAAAGATTTGTTGAAATATAAAGAAGGAAATAAGTTCTTCTTGGATAAGAACTTTTAAAATACTTAAGTGGGATTCTAATTTGCTTGAAGATAAGCGTAAATGTTTTTTTAGATATGTGTGTGATCTCCTGTGTGTATATACATATATCTGCACGGAGAGAGCACTCATCTATTTATACCTAGTGCATTAAATGCACATTTAATGCAATACAATAAGGTTTGAAAACGCCTCAAGATTTTATAGAAAAACTTGTTCTTTGCTACAGTGAATAGTACAAAAGCCTATTCATGAGCAAACATCCTTTCGTGGAGTTGGTGGGTAATAGAGTCAACTAGTCGGCTTCGTTCCATACTATACTCTAGAAAGGGTATGGGGTTGTCCTCTGTATGTGCAAGAACAAGAAAAAACAATCTTGCACAACAATCTTCATTTGATCGTTGAATGCAGGAATAACACTGAAGGTCTCTTCAGCATTCGCTGAGGCTTGGGCAGTCTTCACATATGTTGACAAGATTGTTATCATTGAATGCCGCTTCAGATCACGAATGTGCCAGTCTCTAGTCTTTGAATTTTGCTGAAGGTTCTTTGGTGTGAGTTTTGTCTTCTTGAAGTATCGTTGTCGCTGTAGGATTTATACATGTTTCATTCGCTGGAACTAAAAGACAAAAACATAATACTTCGAAATAGGTAAAAAGGATTATCATCAAATCAATAAGACAGAGAATCAACAATCTCCCCCTATTTGATGATAACAAACCAACATAAAGAAAGTTGTCTTATTAGATAATAGTAGGGCAAAGTTACACATAAAGTACATGTCCCGTTTTACTATTTTGTGATCTTTTTCAGTGATTCAGTTTTTACTTAGTAAATTTTCTTAAGTTACAAGTTTAAGAAGAAGTACGAGAAGCGAAACTGAAACTGAAAGCATGTTCACTGATTATAGATTGTCAGTAACTGTAACAGAATACTGGAACTCATAGACATGTGTCCCTATTACTCTTTTTCGGGATCTTTTTCAGTGACGTAAATGAAATACTTATATTAATTCAAAGAAAAAATTACAAGTTTTTTAGTACATTTCTTAGACTTACAAAATATAAGCTGAACACTGAAAGTAGACATAGAAATAAAAGATATATAGTGAAAGACAAGTTACAAGATAGAAATCTATAACTAATCTAAGTTGCTTAGATTGAAGTAGCCAGGTACTTCTTCTCCGAGTTCCTTTCGACGTAAAAATTCCTTTCTGATCTTGCGATCCATCACTTCACCATATATATCATCATCTAGCCAAAATCTGATATACACGAGATGTTCCAGTAGGCAGAGATGTAACTCACACATTCTTTGAAAGCTGACTTTGCCTTCATAGTCATGGAAGATAAATCCTAACTCAGGCTTCATGTGCACAGTGTTGGTATGTATGGACCCTTCGCTGGCAAGGAAAGATTCAACATAAAAATGTTTGGCTTCTTCGAAGCCTTCAGGACATCATCCAAGGAGAACTTTATTTCATGTTCATTCCTCAGGGTTGGTCCGTCATTAGGACTTGAAGGTCTTCTTATTCCACTTTTCTTCAGTGTAGGCTTTTCAGGTACCACAACACATCTTGACATCTTCTTGATCAGCTCGCTGATGATGTCTTCGATAACCGGCTTATGTCTTGGCTTTGAGTGCTGAATGGCTTGGCGGATCTCCAGACATTCACTATAGCCATACTGACCAAGGTAGGAAAGGTACTCCGTGACAGCGTCAAGGTTGTCCCTGGTGATGAGCATTCAGACCAGAACTCCACCGTCTTTCGTTCGTCCGCTAATGGTGACGTTTGAAATTGGGTGAGGATTGATCCTCTTGTGTAAACATTCTTCGCTCCATTTTCTGTCGTGCTCGAACAGCTTCAGTGTTTTCTCTCATTCAACTTTTGCAATAGACAGAAGCTTAGCCTGGGCCTTGACAACATTTACCATCTTTTTGGACTTCTTCCTTCTAAGAACTTTAACAGTAAGAGACTTGGCCAGCTTTTAGCTATCCTCAGTCTGTTGTCATTGAAGTCTGAGTTCTTCCTCAGCCTTGAGTGCCTCAAGTCTTTCAGCTTCTGACAGGATGTCGAACTCACCACAACTAGGGGTACGAAAAGGGATTTTTACTCTAGTTTGGTCGAGCGACTCCTTTAGTTGAGACATCTGCTGATCGGTGGGAGTGTTGGAGGTTGGGTTTTCAGGCACCCACTCCTCTAGCCGATCGCATGTAGTGGAAGGGATGGAGAGTTGATAAAGGGAGGCGATGGTGGTGAAACTGGAGGACTCATTAGATAAGGGCTCTAAAGGTTCGGAAAGTACGTTTTAGTTTCCTTCTTCAACAACACCCTTGTCTTTCGACTTGGTGTTCTGGTTCTTCTCTTGAGTCTCCTTCTCTTTCTCCCTTTGCTCCCCCTGGAATGCAGAATCACTAAGAGCAATGCATTTCGTAGTTCCTGAAGGTCTCTGGTATTGAACGGTGAAGTCGTGATCATCGTCGTATTCATCATCGTCATTCCCCAGATCTTCACCAGCGTTAGGAAGGTCGGAAGAATCACTGTCTTCACCTTCATCATCTTCATCATCTTCATCATCATCTTCCATATCACCAGCATTAGCTGTAGAGATGATTGGAAGGTCCTCATCATGAGCTTCAACGCCAGCTCGGACGACATCAACATCCTCAACTACAAGAGCTTCACAGGATGTTGGATTTTCATCAGCAACCTCAACTTCAGCTTTAGGATGAGCTTCAACTTTAGTTTGAGTCGCTGGAACAGCAGCAGGTTCAGCAGCAGCAACAGCATTCGAAAGAGCAGCTCCAGACTCTGTTTCCCCCTCTTTGGCAATGGCTTTGGAAAAATAGCTAAAGAAATGATCAACAGTTCTTATTTGAATCACCATCATCTCTTCAAGCTTTGGCATAGCACGGGCTAAAAGAATAGTAATCTTGCACGTCTGGTCTAGCTGCTCGCGGTCTTCAGCATTGAACAACGGTTCAGGTGTTGGGATTGGCTGTTGGAAAGTTGCCTATATTTGTTGCATCAACTCTGTGTCCTTGGCAAGATGAGAGTTCACTTCATCGGCCTTGCTTGTTAAAGTGGCCTCAGCGTTGGCTTGCACAGCCACTTGCATTGATGAGAGCTGGTCCTTGACCTCTTTCACTTTAGCCTAGACAGCTGAGAGGTCAGCAGATACATCATCTTTGAGAGGCATGCCTTGATGGACTTCGTCCATTTTAATAGATAGTCTCCACAGTAAGGAGGAGTAGCTTGACATCATCAGCCATGTTATACTCTTCGTCCATAGCTGGCGTCTCTTCAAAAGGACCTGAAAAGGAGCAAGTGTAAGTATAAGAGAGCACGGGGTTAGTAGAAACGAAAGGGTAGGAAGGTAGAGTACTTAATGGTTCATTAGCGTTATCTAAAGGATTAAGGATGGTTCGCTTCAAATGGACTTCGAGAGGATAGGCGCTTGCTTGTTGAAATGCATTGAAAGGAGCAATCTCAGGTCCAATGGTGGGTGTTTCATCATCCAGGAGTACATTCATTGATGAATCATAAATACGTGTCGAGACCAATGATGGAGAAGAGGAGAAAATGGCCGAGAAAGTTGGACGTGAGTGTTCAATAGTGGTGATGTTGATATTCTCACCTTCAGTGATTTGGGTTACTGAGGAGGTTGGGATAGGAACCACAGGTACGACAGTGATTTCAGATATCACTAAAAAGATGGGAAGGGTAGCTGAAAGTGCCTCGGGGGTAAGCCTAGTTTCAATGGTTGAGACCTTTAGAGAGGTCACAGCTAGAGACGTAGGCGTCCCTTTTTTGGATTTCTTGGCCCTCGATGGAGAACCAAGAGTGGGTTGAGAGGATGGATGTTTGGTAGAGAGGGTGGTGGTGGTCGGGATAGACTTCGTGGGGTTTTCTTTATTCTTAACAACCTTAGAAGGAGAAGAATAAGAAGAAGGAATTGAAGAGACGGGTTGCACTATAGCAGATAGTGCAATGTCTCCATCCCTTAGCTTATGATCCAGAATCCTTGATCCAAGCTTGCAGATAGGAAGGTTACCTTCTTTGGATTACTTGTCGTTGAAGATTTTGGCGAACACCATAGAAAGGAATCTTGTGTATTGTACAACCTTCTCCCTCTGGCGCTTGTTCAACTTCAACGCCAGGTCCTCGAAGATCACAACAGCGTAGTTGATAGGGCGTCAGCGGATGACAGAAACGCCGATGTTGAGAGAGACCCTTGAGGCTTGATCTTGACCTCCAATCTTTCATCCCATACACTGGATGAAGTGGGAGAAGAAGTATTGCCACACCGCTGACATGCGTTTCTTCTCGATCTTCGACAGCGATTTGAGGGGTTCGCTGAGTCTTTCTTCATTGGCCAGGCATAGCCAATATCATCGAGGTAGACGATGATGATTTCAATTGAAGGATCGCTGATGAAGGGACCCTTAGGAAATCGAAGAGCATGCCTTAGCATCGTCACACCAAAGCTGACGGTCATACGGTTGAAGGTGAAAGAGATCTCCACCTGGCGACCGTGTTTATCAGTATCCTGAACCACTCCAGCAGTCATATAGATATGTTGAAGCGCTTCTTTCACCATGACAAGTTTATGGGTGAGAGCATAGGAAATTGGTGACATCTTGAGAAAGGAAGCAACATCCTCATAGAGAGATTTGTTTGAAGGAATGTCCAACAAGGCGACATGGTTGTTGTCCTTGAAGGTCACGTCTTCAATGGAAAAGTTCACATTCTAGGCAGCCATTGTCTGTTAGAGGTAAGAAATAAGATATTACAGTTTTATTAGTAGTACAAGATTAGGATGTGAGCTTTTTAAGTTTTAGAACAATAAAACTTCTTTTGAAAAATCCAGAAAGAAAATACTAGGGTTTTTCAAGAAAAATAAGTGGTTTTGGAACTTTAGATTTTAACCAAGGAAAAGAATGTGTTAATAATCTTAATGTTTGTATTTTAAGAGAACAAGTTCTTACAGAAAATAAACACTGTTTCATTAGAAGAAAAAGAAGAACAGTTCAAAGTATTAAAGAAGAGTATCGACCTTAGACTTTTAGAAGAAAAGGTCAAAGGTTTCAAGCGTTCTTAGTTTGTAGTTCTTGCTTGGGAATCTGTTTTGGCATAAGTTCGTCAAAGATTTTGAACGCGTAAAGAAAATATGAGAAGAGAAGTCTCATATTTATAGGTAGCAGGAGAGAGAAAAAGATATAGGAGAGAGGAAAATATGACTGTTGAGGAAGTGCCATGATGAAAAAGTAGCACGTTCTCATCAATGATTGGATGGAATTTGGAGGAGGTCACGTGTGTCAGACTTTTACGTGTGTCTCAAAGCAACTCGTATTGGTAAAATAAAATGTCGTCATAAAAACGATTCATAATCTATTTCTTTTAAAACAAAAAGGTTTTAAGAAATTCAAAAGCCACTATCTGAAGAATATGAAAGGGTTTTGAAAGAGTTCAGTGATAAGAAGAATCACTGAATGAAAAGACCTTTTAAAACATTTGATCACTAAAGAAGAAAAGCTTCAGTGATGGTTTTGTTTTAAGAAAAGGAAAATATCTTAGAAAATATATATTTCCATAAAAGAATTAGTGACAAGAGAAACACTGAAACTATTTTTTAAAAACTTTTGAATCACTGAAAGGTTTCAGTGATCATTTTGATTTTAAGAAAAGATAAGTATAATAGAGAGATATACTTATTTAAAATGTTCTGTGATAGAAAGAATCCCTGAATAAAACTTTTAAAACATTTTCATCGCTGAAGAAGAAAAGCTTTAGTGATAGTTTTAAGTTTTAAAGAAGAAAAGCGAGTATACATACCTTAGAGAGAATAGATACATTTACTCAAGAGTTTAGTGATAGAATGAGAGCACTGAATCATTGCACTTACTGATTGATGCATAATAGCTGAACGAAATTAATCTTCAGCGTTTAGCATTCCAAGTTCGCTGATTAAGATATTAAATCTTGTCTCATCAAGAGGCTTTGTGAAAAGGTCAGCGAGTTGGTAATCCGTGGGAACAAAGTGAAGTTCAATATACCATTCATAATGTGATCTCTGATAAAATGATATCTGATCTCAATATGTTTGGTCTTGGAGGGAAGAACAGGGTTGTTTCCAATCGCAATAGCACTAGTGCTATCACAATAGATAGGAATCTTTGAGAACTGAATATCGTAGTCATTAAGCTGGTTTTTCAACCAAAGGACTTGGGTACATCAACTTCTAGCGGCTATGTATTCAGTTTCAGCGATTGATGTGGACACTGAGTTTTGCTTTTTACTTGTTCAGCTTACCAACTTTCCACCTAGAAGCTGACATTCTCCAGTGGTGCTTTTCCTATCAAGTTTGCAACCTGCAAAATCACTATACGAATAACCTATTAGGTCAAAACCTGAACCCTTAGGGTACCAGAGACCCAAATTAGGAGTTCTGTTCAGGTATCTGAAAATGCATTTTACAACAATCAGTTGGGATTCCTTAGGTTCAGATTGATATCGTGTACATAAGCAAGTAGAATACATGACATCTGGTCGACTGGCTGTAAGATACAGCAGGGAGTCGATCATTCATCTTTAAACAATTACATTTACAGGCTTTCCATTTTGATCCTGATTGAGAGAGAGTGGAGGAGCCATAGGAGTGTTCATAGATGAGTTGTTAAAGAGATCAAACTTTTTCAACATATCATAGACATACTTACTTCGACTGATAAAGATACCTTTATCTGATTGCTTGATCTGGAGACCTAAAAAGAAGGTTAGTTTTCCCATCATACTCTTCTGGTATTATTTCTTCATGCGATCAGCGAAACGAAAACATAAAGAGGTATTAGTGGAACCAAAAATAATATCATCGACATATATTTGGACTAGAATGATATGACCTTTAAATTTCCTAAGAAATAAGGTCTGGTCAATCTTTCCATGGACAAATTTATCAGAGATGTGGAACAAGGAGAGGGTATCATACCAGGCACGGGGAGCCTGTTTTAACCTATAAAGAACTTTATCCAAATGATAGACATGGTTTGGATACTTAGGGTCAAGAAACCCTGGAGGTTGTTCAACATAAACTTCTTCTTGAAGTTTTCTATTTAGGAAAGCGCTCTTTACATCCATTTGGTAGACTTTGAAGTCTTTATGGGCATCAAAGGCTAGAAAGATTCGAATTGCTTTGAGGCTAGCCATTGGTGCGAAAGGTCTCATAATAATCGATCCCTTCTTTTTATCTATAACCCTGAGCAACAAGGCGAACCTTGTTACGGGTTACCACACCTTCTTCATCTAACTTGTTGTGATAGACGCATTTGGAGCCTATCACGGTGTTGTCGGATGGATGTGGCACAAGGTACCAGACTTTGTTCCTATCAAACTCAATGAGCTCCTCTTACATGGCATGACCCAGCTAGGGTCTGAGATAGCATCATTGATTTTCTTGGGTTCAACTAAAGAAAGAAAGTTGAGAAAGAGATAAATATTACCTAGACCTCAACGAGTCTGAATACCTTCATTTGGATCACCAAGAATTTGATGAATAGGATGGTCTTTTGTCCATCGCCGAGCTGTTAGAGGATTATCATCTGAGCATAGATGTTCAGGAACAGAGGATGAGACTTCAGCTGCAGATTCTTCAGCAATAGGAACAATTGCTAAAGGAGCCTTAGATTCAACGACTGATTGATCAGTGTTTGAAGTAGAAGGAGGAACCCAACTAATGGGCACTGCAACGATCTATGAAAAAGACACGTTGGGGTAATTAGCTGCAACTGGAATGATAAGTGGATCATCTTCAGCTTTTGGGGCTTCAGCATTGAGAGGAATGCTGAAGGAAGCTTCAGGTTGTCCAAAATGAGAGAACAACCAGTTTTCTAATTCTTTGTCATCATTTAT